TCTGCATGCACTACTGATGCTAAGGTGACCTTTCACAAATCGAGCTATATACACAGCAGAGGTCCATCCCTTCTTTCTTCTGAAGAAATTTAATTTTTAAGGAAACATTACTAACTGAAGAAATAAGCTTTCACCTTCTTTCATGTCTTAGACTCAATAAAGGATAAGGATAGGGCATTTATCCCATGAGTGAACACCCTGAAGCAGTTATACATGGTTGGTTTAAAGGAAATCTAAGAATCTCTGCCTGACAGGCTGGCCACATTCCAAATGAGAAATCAATGACTCTGTATTCTGGGTAAAGAAAAGCCAGGATGCTTTATGACTTGTTCTACATATACTCTGGATCCAGCCAAGCTCTGAATTACACACAGTTGAGAATGGTGAGACAGCAACATCCCATGTCCAGTGAGGCTGCCTGCAGCATAAGGTACATTCTGGCAGGACTCTGCACAGACAGGGGCTTGCTAGATTTTGGAATTCAGCCTGTAGAAAGACAAAAATATGTAGCAGGGAAAAGGGAAGAAAACAATTGGGGTTTTCTGTGCCTAGGATAGCCAGCTAACTAGATGCAGGCTGTGGGGTTTTTTTGTTTGTTTTTTTTTTTTTTGTTTTTTGTTTATTTTGTTGGTTTTTGTTTTTTTTTTTTTCCTGGCAAAGAGACTTGCAGAAAAGGGTAAAAGGGCAAAAGGTAATTCTGCCCGCAGGACTAGCACATATCTTCATAATACCTGTAGTATTCTGAACAAACTAAAACTCCATTTAGCTGTGAAAAGCAATGCCTGTTTACTTAATTATTGGTAAAAAACCCCAAACAAACAAACAAAACCCCAAACCAAACCTCCCAAAAACAAAACAAATCTGATGTGGAGGCTTTGCACTACTTGGTATATCATTGCTGCAATCACACAGGAGCAGACAGAAAGGGCCATGTGTTCTCAGGGATTGATCATGATGCTCAAACAGAACAAAAAAAAAACAAAACAAACAAAAAAGGAGGTTAACAGAAGTGTTAAATTATAACAGCAAACTTGAACAACCAGACATAGAACTTAGTCATATTTTCCACAACATTTTGTCATGTTGTTTACAGCAACATGAATAAAATTATTTACTTCTATTACTCAGGCTCTTAAGAAAGACACGTTTAAAAAAAAAAAAATCCCAACTCTTTACATTCTTCAGATTTTTTTCTCCACTTTTATACTCAAGCAGTGTTTTGATCTTTCATGTTGGGCTGACAGCCTCTGAGAACTTACATCCTTATTTATAATGCTTTTGGTGAACTCATACCAGTGTACTAAACCAAACTATCCTTTATTCAGCCCATGTCTCTATGAGCAAATAAGACCCTGTAGGGATTCAGCACATCAGCTGCTTAAAAGATAAACCTACCCAGCTTGCTGAAAACTCTTCACCACCTTCCTGTTGAGAGAAAATGGTTACACATTTCTAATAAATGAAGCAGGAACTGTCATTTTTTTGGCAAACTGATAACTAGCTGTAACAGCCGCATTGCCACAAGTTGCTTTTCCAAAGCAATTACCATCAGGCTCCCTGTGGTATGCAGTGTTTAACACATTTCTTCTGTGTTAATGAATGCAAAAGCAGGCAACACCACTATTAGTAATTGCTTTTTATTCGTAGTCCTCATTTTCCAGATAGGTCACATTAAACACAGCCATTAAACAATAGCGGTTGAGATAATCCATACAATGTATGCTGCTTTTGTTTGGTTTTTTTGTGTCATTCACCAGTCATTGGTGCAACTTTGAGCCATATGGGGAGACAGGGGCTGATAAATGCAAATGCCAACCTGTATCACAATTGGGCCAGAGAAGTCAAAACCTTAATCAGGTTTCATTCAATTACACTTCAAATCAACAGATCTTGATAGCCAAAACTCCCATTTGAATTAATGCAATAATAATCACTGCCTGATGTCAATCAAAATAAAGTAATTAAACAATAATGAGTGGGCGTATATAATGCTAGGCTTCAGACTCCTTCTTGACCTCAGCAATTTCCCTTCCATTGGACAGTTTGAAAGTTTCTTTGAATTATGTAACCTGCTCCATTATGAGCAATGTTTGACTTCTAGGGGTAACTTGTACTGGGATACCTATATTCTCAAGTGGCAAATCATAGTTCAGTAGAATCTCTTTCTTGATAAATATGAAAAAAAAAAACAAACCCAAAAAAAACCACACACAAAAAAAACCCAAACCAGAAAAAAAGAGAGTCTGATTTTGAGTCCTGATTTGTTTGACCGGTTGTTTAAGGAACTCCCAGTTGCTGGCTTTCATTAATAAAAAAAATATATAGAATGCCTTATTCACTCTTCACAGTATACAGTACAATTTTATTAGTTACTTAACTTGCCTCCCTTAATGCAGCCATTCTCTTTATAATCGTGTCGCAAGTGTTTTCTTTCAGTCTTATAAAACACGTACGGAAGGAATGAGAGAAATAACTCATAAACTTTATCTTTCATTGCTGTCTCTTTCTCCAGTGGTGACAACAGAGATACCATGGAGAAAAAATACTTTTAAAAATATTTTTGTGTGTAGTACTTCCTTAATACACAATCATGTTAATTTTGACTGAACCAGCAAAACTCACACTATATAAGCTCTGCTGGTTTATTCATTCATTATGTATCTATTCTAAATTGTGAAACTGATTTTTTAACCTTGGATAAACTTATTGGAAGCAGTATGCCAGAGATCTAGAACACAAGGCAGTTGTCAGCCAAATTAAATAAAAGCAAGATTTCCTAAACTCTTCTATAAAGATGAGTAATGAATTCTGAATTACCTCAGAGTGGTAAATAAATAATCACTACTAAATACAGATAATGTGTTAAACAGCTAAAGCTAGTAAATCGCTAGTGACAGAGAGCCTTAAGGTAAATTCTTCTTACATTGGCACAGCCCTTTCTCAGAATGTTGTGGTTTTTTGTCTTCAGAAACATACAATGAATTGTACAACTGGTTACTCAGTGTTAAAATAATTTATAAAATACACAAATCTCCATCACTTGACTGCATTTACATACTGGCTTAGATTTTGCTGAATAATGGATCTCACTGGCAGAGCTAAAGACTTGGTGCACGGACACTGAAGTGATGGGCACCATGGAAATACATATAAAAGACTGAACAAACAATAAGAAATCCTCTTCACTATGGAATTTCAAGCTATCAAGCTATCAAGCAAAACCAATCTTGGGTCTCCTGGCCAAAAAAAAAAAAAAAAAAGAAAAGTTATATAACACAGACAACACCACATTTTAGATACATAAATTGTCCAAAACATGGAGAGTAGCTTGATAAAACATGTACAAGATTCTTTTTTTACATGTAACTGCAGATTTTTTTTAACAGCAGGAGCTAAAACCAAACTGTCAGAATGGTTGTCTCCCAAATACAATTCATTGTAGGACTGACTAGCTAAAATCACCATTTAACAGCAATCCCAACATCAAAACAGGATGTTGGGTCAAATTTCTTTCTTGATTTGATGAAAACTATGGCTTGTGGGATTTGAGATTGCCAACCTCTTTTACATATATTTGTATAATACAGATTAAATTTAATAAACCTAGTACACCATTTTTAAACAATGTGTCATAGGGATATTTCCAACAGAGTATCTGAAGTATACAATGGACAGATCTTGAGCTAAACACTTTATTATTCTGCTTCTTCTTGTTCTGTGAGAGTTCATTTTGATTGTGGTTTGTTTTTTTTAATTTTCATCTGAAGACAATTTTGAATTTTTCATATGCAATAAAGACACACTCAGAAAAAAGAATAAAAAAGTAGAAACTATATCACTAGTTATTCTGCAAATGCTTTTCAGAACAAATGAAAACTGAACTAAAAACCCTTACAAATAAACAGTGTATATCTAGAACTGCAGTAAGGAATTTCACATGCTCAAGAGTCAAATAAAATTCTGCCCATGCCACATTGGCATTTACATGTTTTTCAGCTCTGTGAAGTTATTAGTAAAACTTTGAAAATGGTGGCATCTCTTAAGAAGTCAAGCAAATATCCTACATTAAACAGTTTGGCTGCATGTGTTTGGTGGAAAAAAAAAAAAAAACAAAGAGGTTCCAGATGTTGGTTTGAGTGTAATTTTTGTTATTAAACATGGGTTTGCAATAGAAGCTTCTACAAGGACTTTAACCATGACTGATGGATGTATTTGTAGGCCGTTCAGTTAGCTCCATCAGCTCACTCAAACACATTTTGAACAGATTATGTACTGCAGTACTTCGTAGACCATACATTAAACAAGAGACTTTGCTCTGAGGCGCTGCTTCCCACAATCCATGGGGAAAAGGAAGCAGGAAAAAACAAAACTCATAGAGTTCGACAGCTACTGAGGCAACACTTGCCATTTACAATATAAGCCCAAATATTTTTGCAACACAACTATATATTAATTTAATAAAATACACAATATAGCTCTTATACACTCAACAATTTGGCTCATATGCACTGAATCTGCAATAAATCAATAAAAATATGTAATTTGATGTAAACACACTGAATCTTCTTACATTTGCACATTTAAATGATCTTGTGATTTGTGTGGATGTCTAAGACATTTGCACTTTCCTGAGCTATTTTAGTGTCCACAAATGAATAAAAAAAGTGTTAATAATGTTAATTTCTTTTGTGTATTACCCTTAAAGGTAACTATTTTTTTTTCAAATTTTATTTCACTTCAGTTTCTTTAAAACTTACCACTAACTATTTATAGCTTTGTTGGACACTAAAACGCTAAATAGATATTAAAATCTTCTTTTCTTTTTTATCGAGTGAATTAGCTTATGTGTGTGCAGGACAAGATGGACTGTATCACTTTACATTTAACCTTAATATGATATGAAGTGTTTTACTAATGATCAGGATATGTTTTGTTGAATAATGATCTGGAATAGGGTTTTTCTGTTTTCTTGTTCTTTTCTTTTTTTTTTTTTTTCATATTTGTGGCAGATAACTTTGTACATAAATGTTTACCACAGATGAATGTTAATGTTTGGTGTCACTTGAACTACTACAATAACTCTTTTTAGGACTTTCAGTAGAAGCCTGTGGTGAGTGCTGGAAATCCACCACAGATCAGAATTATTCAACCCTGTTTTTCTTGGGGTTTTTACGTAAACAGTAAAGTCAGCATCAGCTGTTGAGGACAGTCTTAAAGTATCAGATGTATTTCCATTCCACCTTTCTCACACTTTCCTATCAGATTGTCAAAATGGCACCGTCTTTGCTTCTTCCGTTTTGTTCTTAGTGTACTTGACTCTGTCCTAATGAAAGTTTGGTCAAAATGAAACCAGTGTTATCTGTCAAAAAGAAAGAGCAGTGAAAAGAACATACTTGTGGGCACTTCAGATGTTCAGTAAAAGCCTTAAAGCAGCATTGGTCTTCCTTCATTCCTGTAAATCTGTTACAACCAGGGGAATTATTTATTTGTTTACTTTTAATCAGCAGAAGAGGAACGTAACTGCCAGCCTGTCCTTATTTTCCCCCTCACTTTCTGACGGCCATAGGGTCACTTCCCCGACAGTCCTGCAAAAGCTTGTCTATTTCTCTCACAACTTCCTCGGCATCCACTGACTCCCTGCCTAGATCCCGGGCTGAACGGTCTAACTGCTCCAGAACAGAGTCCATCTCACTCGAGTCTCGGCTCACTCGGGAATGCCCATCTGTGAAGGCCCTAGCCATCTGATCTGATGCAATGAAGGGAGTGTCTTTTGACTGTTTACTAGGCGATAGATACTGACTGTCACTTGACAAGTACTGGCTGCTTGGTTCAGCCAAGGCTCCTGATTTCACTTCACAACCATCCAGTGGTCCTTTTGTTGAGGTGCAAGGCTCAATGCATGTCTTGGTTGGGCTGCTCGATGCTGAGGGAACCTCCTGAAGCAGAGGACTCAGGGCACGTTTGGCTTTTAAGTAAGGTTTAACATTGGCAATGAGAATAGTGTGCTCTCTCTTGTCTTTCCCAAATGTACAAAAAGTCTTTTTCCCAGTAGGATTCACAGTTTCATATGTCTCAGTCTCAACATTAGCTTCAACTGTGGGTACAAAGAGATTTGTGCGATAATCTGCATTCTCAGCCTGACTGGCTGCAGGGAACTGTGGCATCCAACACCTGTCAGAATGACCAAGCACTCTGCATTCATCTGTGCAGTTAACACATTCTTCTTGCTCTGTAAAACAAAGGAGAAAGAGAAAAAACTCTAATTATAAGTGAATTTCTTTAAACTAATGGATAGACTATGATCAACATTTGATGAGCTTACTTGACATCTGGTTTCTTAATTATGGAGCAAAAGCAGAAGCTATAATTAAAATATTTGAGAAGAATTGCCTAAACCTGCTAGTTGAGACAATAGATTTATTTAACTCTGTTCTCTAGGTATTAAAGCACTCACACAACCCAATGGAAGTATAAAGGGGTCATTAGAGAATCATTCTCGGTGGAACTGAGCTTCATCTGTAAACTAATCTGCTGTAGAAATCTGTTAGGCTTTGTTCTGTAAAACTCATTGTAGAAAAGAGTGAACAGTACTTAAGGAACTCAAAAGGCATTATCAGGATTAATTTTTCAAATCAAATAACTGAGCAATGACTGCCTTTCTGGAAATACAAACACTTCATAAAAATCAGCAAGCTGGCTTTTCATTTTTGTCACCTCCAATTCGTTTATAATTGTTAGGTTGTGTGACAGTTACAAAATAAAAAGGTTTTCTTAAAAAGACTTTTGAGAACAGGGAACTAGAATTTTCCATCAATATGCATTAAATACAAGCTTGTCAAAAAGTGCATATTGCAATTTTATTAAACATAAGTATGGATCATACAATCAGTTTTTCCCTTTTTTGTTTTGGTGCAAGTAAGTGAAAATGGATTTGCTCAATACATGCAATTTGGAAGAATGACAAACCGTGACACATTATTTGAACTGATAATGTTTTCAGATAGGATTTCTATGTTCTTATTTCTTTCAAAGAATATAGTTAAATATTTTTTTTATTTACTGTATTTTTAGAACATAAATTTTTGATACTTCCTGTTCTACAATTCAAAGACATAAAGAAAACTTTATGCTTTAAAAACCTTAGCTTGTCTGTCATTTTAAACTAATACAATATGTTTGGGCTACCATTTAAAATTTTATAATTGTACACATGACTCTAACCCAATGTCAGGGATAACAAAAATTCCAGAAATATCCCTTAAATCTATTTTTTAGTAAAACACAACTCTGATCCAATTTGCTTTCTTTTTCTTTCATCTCTAGGTTTTGATCAGATATACACTGGTCTTTAGCTATTAAGCATTTTCTTCCACAAAATGGGCAGATGGGTTCAAATATTCATTTTATTTGAGGAATTTTGTATTTTTAAAATGCCTGGAATTCCAGCTAGACAAAACTATGTTTATACTTTTAAATTTATTTAATGTGGAGTAGGTATTAAGAACAACAGAACAAACTTGTTGACCCAAAGACAGGGAAAATTTAAGTAATCATCATACTTCTAAAATAGAAAATAAATTCCTAGTAACCTTATAATATCACCACCAGATTCATGGACAGCTGCAATGCAAAAACCTGTCACAGAAAACCCACCAAATGTAGTCTATGAGAATCCAATAGTGTAAACAGCTTTGACTGTTCACATTTCTAAAAAGACGTGAATAAATGGGACTCAAATTTAAATAAAATTGTGTTATGTCACAATGATCTGTTAAATCAGAGTGAGATAATTTACTCAGAACTGATACTTGTTAATGATATAATTCTGTGAAAAAGTGTCACTCTGTATAAAGGCTCCCTTCCTTGAAGAGTTCAAAATCTAAGAATGGTGTAAGCTCTGAACAAATAACAAAAACGAGAAAGAATGAGGTACAGGGAGAGAACACACAGTGATTTTTGAGGAAAGGAATGTAACAGAAAGGTTTTAAATACAAAATTCAAGGTTTTAAATACAAAATTCATAGAGGTGAGTCAGCCTCACCTCTGTGCCTGGTAAGATCATGGAACAGATCTTCCTGGCAGACATGTCAAAAAATATGGAAGACAATGAGGTGATCTGAGACAGACAACACGGCTTCACCCAGGGCAGATTGTGTCTGACTAATCTAGTGGCCTTCTACAAGAGAGTGACTGCATCAGTGGACAAGGGAAGAGCTACAGATGTCATCTACCTAGACTACTGTAAGGTCTTTTATAATGTCCCCCACAGTATTCTTGCTGGAAAATTGGCAATATACAGGTTTGATGGATGGACTGTTAGATGTATAAGGAATCGGTTGGATGACCACATCTGAAGAGTTGCAGTTGATGGCTCAATGTACAAGTGGAAAACAGTAAGAAGTAGTATCCCTCAAGGGTCCACACTGGGACCAATATTATTTAATAACTGCATCAACGACTTAGACAGTGGGATTGAATGCAATCTCAGCAGCTTTGCAGATCACACCAAGCTGAGTGGTGCAACAGATTCACTGGAGGGAAGGGATGCCATCCAGAGGTGCCTTGACAGGCTTGAGAGGTGGGCCCATGCAAACCTCGTGAAGTTCAATAAGGTCAAGTATAAGGTCCTGCACCTGCGTCAGGGAAATCACCAGTATCAGTACAGACTGAGGGATGAATAGGTTGAAAGCAGCCCTGTTGAGAAGGATTTGGGGATACTGTTTGGTGAAAAATTGGACGTGAGCCAGTAATGTGCACTTGTAGCCCAGAAAGTCAACTGTATCCTGGGCTGCATAAACTGAAAGAGGGTAGATTTAGATTGTACATGAGGAAGAAACTCTTTAATATGAAGGTGATGAGACACAGGAACAGGTTGCCCAGAGAAACTGTGGATGCCCCATCACTGGGAGACTTCAAAGTCAGGTTGGACAGGGTTTTGAACAACCTGATCTAGTGAAAGATATTCCTGCCCAAGGGTGTTGGACTAGATGATCTTTCCAGGTCCCTTCCAACCCAAACCATTCAATGTCCTCTAACGAAAAGTAAGCTGCATGTTGTTTTTAGTGTACAATAAAAATTAGAATTATTATAATGAAAAGCAAGAGTAAAAGAGAACCCCAACCCTGGGACTGTAACACAGTGACGCTTAGGGTGGTGAAACAGTGGAACAGGTTGCCCAGGATCCCTGGAAACATTCAAGATCAGATTGGATGGAACTCTGGGCAGCCTGATCTACTGGAAGATGTCCCTGCTTACTGCAGGGGGTTTGGACTAGATGATCTTCATGGTCCATTCAAACTCAGACTATTCTATGACTCCATGATTCTATGAACTGCAGAGAGTTTAAGAAAGAGATTTAAGTTTGTGGTGTCTGATTTTACTTCCCTTGAATGAGATGACATTGGTATGCATAACCATAGACACAATATATGTAGTGACAATTGCTTAATGAAAAGGGAGCCATACAAATAAAGGGCATTGCTATACACCTCATTCCACTCATTATTTCACCTCCACTAAAGTTCTCTGTATCTGGTTTTCCAGAGACTCTACAGCATCAAAAAACTGCTGCCTAAAACAGCCAAGTGAAACTGCTACTCTCTTTCCAAAAAAAAAAAAAAAAAAGAAAAAAAAAAAAGGAAAACATAAAACTCCACAGAAAAAAACAAACCACAATATTTTAAAGACACATGGGGCAATGGGGCAAGAGCATTGGAGAGGAAGGCTCCAAGCTTCCATGGGTTGAGCAATAGTTAATACTAGCCAGGTTTGATTATGTTTTCTCACAGAAATACAACAGAAATAAACAAACAAACAAAAAAAGCTCCAAGTGCAACCCTTTTGATGTTAATTGTAGAACTTTAGATTTTGCAAATACATGCTATTAACTTTGTTCTTTTTATCTTCCTGCTAATCCTACAGAGTAGATTCGTGGCAAGCTCAGCCTCTATCTTCAAAAGTGAACCTATATAAGTAAGGAGAAATAAGAGGTGTTTTGCTTAGGATTTTCTCTAACCATATCTAAAATTATGTTTCTCTTAAATGGAATGCATGACAATGCTGAGTAAATGTTTTCTGGTACTTTTAAAGGTGTCCCTAAGTAATTAATCAGCTTTCCAACTAACTGATTTATTTTGTAAACTTTACTATCCTTTGCATGATTTTTTTGTAAATGTCTTTGGTCCCTTTTTAACAAAAGTTGAAAATAAAAACATGCTGCATGTTAGCCACCATAAAATGTACAGAACTGCACAATCAATGGACCAACACCTCTCTCTGCCGCTCTCTCTTTTCAATTATTCCATCAAAACAGGACTCTTCTTTGCTCCTTTCTTTCTCACAAGTATCACTTCCTGTAAACCTTTATAACCACACTTAATGTGTCAAGAGTGTACTGTGAGAACACCATTGAGCACCACTGGGAAGATTTCAATACATTACAGCTTATTTTATTAAACCACAAAAAGACCATCTCTAGAAGAGGAACTCCCTTCACCTTTTAGGTAGTAGTTGTGTCATAGTATCTTAAAATACATTAAATAATTAAATTAAATAAATAAATTATATACAATTCTCTGCTGTCTACATTGACAACATATATATATATGCATACAACAGTGAAATTCTATTTTGACACTGTCTCATTCTAAAAATGAACTGAACTGTATTTATTTTTTAAAAAAATAATAAAATTATTCCCTGAACTGAAATTGAAATGCACAAACTTGAGATGAAAGGTAAAGATCAGAGAAGTTCTCAGCCACTGGATATAAGTTAACTACACTAGTTACTCAGTTTGTTGCCAAAAACTATGCTTTGAGATTTTCAGGACTGGTTAGGTTAATTTTGTTATAACCATGTTCTAAGATTTTAAGTTCTTAGCGTTTATGCATGTGCATACACATACACTGGGTGTGAGGATAACTCTTACACAGTATTTACATTGCTCATTACTGCCAATAAAAAGACAAAGTTTGCTGGCAATCTCTAATAAAAGATATATATCATACAGCATATATTTGTTATATAAATTGCATGCCATATCTTCCTTCCCCTTCTCGTTTCCTGTATTTGCTAAAGCAGTTTTTATACTTGCATTCATACAGTATCGACTAACTTTCCGTTTCTGCTCCCTGGGCATCATAGCAGTGACTGAATTAAATATGAAGCCAGAAAGGAAGAAACAAATGCTGAATGACCTTGAAGTGAAAACCACCTGCATTGCATGAG